ACAATCACATTCAACAAGTGGTTTCCACATCCTGCCCCCATTCCCACCCCCAGTGACACATTCCATCCCAAGAGATAAGTATGGCTGACTCTGGGGTACAGGCTTTGGTGTGTCTTTTTCCATACAGCTGATGGACAAAACATTTTTTACAAAGACAGGATCACATCAAACACATCATTTGATGTGTTGTTTCCCTCACTATATGATCAGTTATTCAATGTCCTAACATATGTATAAAACATTATTTGTTCACTTCAGACATCCTAAAAGTGTGTTGGGACTATCATGGGTCTACTTTTCTATGCTTCTGAAAGGTTCAATTATCACATCTAAAGGTGACAGCAAAGATCCAGAAACTTGCACAGGAAGTCTTCAGTTAAAAATTGATTGTGCTCAAAGTATAGTTTCAGTTTTTGAAACTTAAAAGACACTTTCCTAAGAAACAATGCTGAAAAGAGTACTGGGTTCTCAAGATCAGAGTAATACCTACAATGAACTTACAAGGTAGCTGAAACACCAGGCACTCTAAATGAATTGTAAGTAAAAAGATAATGCTACTGTAAAACTAGTTATTAAATAAAACAGATTATTGCATTTACTTGAATGTCTGTGCCTTAAAACAAACTGCCAATTTAGCTGGAGAAAATGGTAAATGAAGTTCAAAACTACTATGAAAATTTTGAAAGAAACTTATATTTTTTCAAAACTCCAAAAACTGGTATTAGTGTGCTATGGGTTGAATTGAGTCCCTCTCAAAAATGTTGAAGTCTTAACTCCCAGTGCTGGTGAATGTGACTTTCTTTGGAAATACAGTATTTGCACAGGAGATCATTAAGGTGAGCCCTAATCCAATAGGACTGATGTCCTTATTAAAGGAGGAAATTTGAACACAAACACACACATCATGTGAGGATAAAGATAGAGATTGGGCTGGTGCCTGCAAACCACCAGAAGCTGGAAAAGAGGCATGCAACAGATTCTCCCTCACAGCCCAAGAAGGAGCCCACCTTGTATCTTGATCTTGGATTTTTATCTATCAGGGCTGTTAAACAAGAAGTTTCTGTACCTTAAGCCACCCAATCTGTACAGAAGCCCGAGGAAACTAATAAAGTGTCAGTCTTCATTATTTCTAACTGCATCACATCTCAGGATTTCTCCTCCTTGATACAAATATGCCACATCCCTATGCTAACAGCCATCAGCCATGGCTGGAGTGGGGCCAGGGCCCACAAACGGAAGGATGAGAAGGGGAATACGAAAGAAAAGAGTAGAAAGTGAGGGAGAAAGACACTTGCTCTGTCTTTCCCTGGGTGACTGGACAAGAATTGGACAAGAAAAGGGAAACAGAGAATTAAAGCCAATGAACACTGCAAAGTGAGAAAAATGGCCTGAGAGACATGTAATTATGTAAACTGTGGATGGTCAAAAACAGAATAAAAATTTTTAAAAGACAAGGGAGCACAGGCTGGGAGAATGCTGAGCCAGTTTCCTGGATAATAAGTGAGATCCATATAGTTACAAAAAAAGTCAGGTTTTGCCCACCTAGTACTACAGGACCTGCAGGAAACAACTCATCTGCTCACTTGTGGACTTGGTGAAAGGATCTGTGTGACTCAGGCAAGTGTTACAAGGCTTGCCTCAAGCAGTTGCAGCTGAAGGAGAACATGCACCCAGAAGGGATGGCTATGTCCAGAGAAGAGACCTTTGTTCCTGCTGCTCCTCAAAGCCACCCTGCTAGAACACAGGCGCCTTCCTCTTTGTACCAGTGGCACAAAGCAGCTTGGCTACTTTTCCCAATTGTAAACCATGATCAGATCCCTCACAAAACTCTTCCAGGAGGCAACGGTGGTTTTGGTCTTTCTAGTGGACAGAAGCTGCTGGAGACTTTCCCCTAACTCCAAAGAAGGCACACTTTACCTGGTTCCCAGAAACAGCTCAAAAAGTTCCAGATGTACATGAATCACAAATCAGGGAAAATCCACGTGGATGGATTTTGTATAAACCACGGACTAGGGTGAGGAAAGGGCAAAGCATTGAAGGAAGCACCCATTCGCAGGGCTTGAACAATCCTGGAGTGAGTATCTCCTTACGTTTTGCACTTTAGTTCCCTCATCCAAGTCCCAGTCCTGGTGAAAACTAAAATTTTTCTTTCATTCATTTGTTAATTGATTCAATAAATATATTAATCCAGTTGAATGGGTACATGGTGAAAAACTATTCACTGAGCTCATACTATAGCCCATTCTGGTTGAGAGATAAGACATGTTCATTAAAAAATGGTACTAGTGGACTTAGACTCCAGTTGACACACTGGGAAGATAGTTGATTTCCTCATTAAAGTAAAAAGAGAAAATTGCTGTAAGAGAAGGGCAAATTGATCCTATGAACCACACACTGTATGATTCAATTTATGTAAAATGTCCACAATAGGGCTGGGCATGGTGGCTCACACCTGTAATCCCAGCACTTTGGGAGGCCACAGCAGGCAGATCATGAGGTCAGGAGATTGAGACTATCCTGGCTAACACAGTGAAACCCCATCTCTACTAAAAATACAAAAAATTAGCCAGGTGTGGTGGCATGTGCCTGTAGTCCTAGCTACTCAGGAGGCTGAGGCAGGAGAATCACTTGGGCCCAGGAGGCAGAGGTTGCAGTGAGCCAGGATCGCACCACTACACTCCAGTGTAGGCGACAGGGTGAGATTCCATCACAAAGAAAAAGAAAATTTAAATTTTTAAAAAATGTCCACAATTGGCAAGCCTATAGAGACACAAAGTAGATTTTGGTTTCTTAAAGTCGGAGATGGGGGTAGGAAGAATGAGGCAGTGGCTCACACCTGTAATCCCAGCACTTTGGGAGGCCAAGGCAGGCAGATCATGAGATCAGGAGTTCGAGACCAGCCTGGCCAACATAGTGAAACTTCATCTCTACTAAAAATACAAAAAAATTAGCCAGGTGTGGTGGTGGGTGCCTGTAATCCCAGCTACGGGAGAGCCTAGGGCAGGAGAATCGCTTGAACCTGGGAGGCAGAGGTTGCAGCGAGCCAAGATCATGCCACTGCACTCCAGCCAGGGAGACAGTGCAAGACTTCATCTCAAAATAAATAAATAAACAAATAAATAAATAAGGGATTTCATTATGGGGTGATGAAAATATTCCAAAATTGATTGTGATGATGGTTGTACAACTAAAAGCATTGAACTGTACACTTGGGTGAAATGCATGGTATGTGAATTTAATCTCAATAAAACTTTTATTTTTTAAAAGCATATGGTAGTTCACAGTAGAGATTGCTTCCAGCTATAACGTAAGGAAAGGCTTCAAGGAAAAGGTGGGTTCTAAGCTGAAGAATTTGACTCTATGGAAACAGAGTAAGAACATTTTTTAGCGATCGGATCTCACTATGTTGCCCAGGCTAGACTCAAGTAGCTGGGACTACAGGTACACAGCAGTGTGCCAGACTAAGAGTAAGAGCATTTTTGGCAGGGGGAACAACAAGAGTGAAGCAGGGAGACAGGAAATTATAGGATGCATACAGGGGACAGTAAGTCATTCAGTTCACCTGGTGTGTGGGGTCCACGGCAGGGATGGTGTTATATTAAAGAAGGTCTTGAGCCAGGCATTCAAGAGGGTTGAGGTAGGAGGATCACTTGAGCTCAGGAGGTCAAGGCTGCAATGAACTATCATCATGCCTCTTCACTCCATCCTGGGCAACAGAGTGAGACCCTGTCTTATAAAAAATAATAATTAATTTAGAAGGTCTTGAATTCAAAGTGCAAGTATCCAGAATTTGAGCCATAAACAACCAGAGGATAGCCTTATCTGAGCTGAGCTTAATTTATATGCTGAAAGTATGAGACAATAGTAGGGAAGAGACCAGAAATAGGGAGACTGCTAGAAGATTGTGCAACATCCCAGTTCATCTGCCACAAATGTGGAGGAAGCAGACACTAGCAGTTTCTGCAATTGTAGAGACTGTGGCCCATGCAGACAGCAAAGGCAGGGAGATGCAGCATGCCATACAGCCTGGCTCTGATATTGGCAGACACCTTAGCAGGCTTAGGGACTTTAACTGCAGAGAAAATGTGAGTTAGCACTAAGAACCGTGAATCAGTCCTATGGGGCTGAAAATTGACAGCATTGGGATAAGTGGAACTGGGAAGACAGCAAAAGTAGAAAATGAAAGTTCAATTTTTTTTTAAAACAAAAGCTCTTTGGAAATGAGGAAGAAGTGGTGTCAGCAAAGAAACATTAGGATGTACAGGGTCAAAGAAGACAAGGGAAAGTTTGGCAAGAAGGGCAGATGGGGTGGCGTTATGCTTAAATTCCACAAGGAAAGCACCGGGGTAGGTACAAGGTTGGGGCTGGCAGAAGAATAGCAGTTCAGTGATCATTAACTTGGTCCATTTGATTTCCCAGGTAACCAAAGACACCAAATACACTCTGCCTCCAGGAGAGTGTACCCTTTGTACAACAAGACAAGGTGGAAATAAGTAGACACCTAAACTCTAGACTTTTGCTCTATCCTCTCTGCATTTTGGTGTAGATTTCTTCCCAAATACAGTTTGGGAAGAAAGGAAAGAAGAACCAGCAGTTTTAAGCATGTGCTACACAGTGTGTTTATGAACATTGTTGCTTTCAATCTTAAAGCATGGATTGGAGACAGGCAGTATTACCCACACTTCATAGATGCAGAAAGTAAATCTCAGGCTAAGGATGGAGGAAAAGGGAGTTCATCAAATAAGCAGGAGCCTATCTGAAATCTGATGCATCTGGTCCTAGAGCCAACCTTCCATTTCCCTCCAGTCCCCACCTGTTTAAGCTTCCCTGCCAGTGGGAGGAGGGAGAGCCAGAGCAGCCTACGGCCAGGAGAGATGTGAAGAGCTCTAGGTGGTGACCAAGAGGAGGAGGAAAGTGTGCCTTTAGTTCATATGAACTAGAGGGAGCTGGTATTTGCACAGCAGTCAGGGTCACATGAGTGATCATGGTACAGCGAGAAGTTCTCCCTCCCAGGGCAAGGTCACAGTTTGTTTCTGTTCAATCCAGATTCTTCCAGTAAAAGCTTCAACTTCCCACATTGAAGCTGAGAGCCTCCCAAAATGCTGGCTACCTGCTGAGCACCCCGTAACTCTGAGACAGTGGTAATTTGACCCTCTGCAATTGCCGTCTGCTTCCTGCCAAAGTCCTTTCCGTGACTGCTGACCCTTGGGTGTGCCTTTGAGCTGCTGACTTCCAGCTGGAACTTGAAGGTAAGAATACGGCTTAAAAGAAATTCTGTACCTAACTCGTTAGTTTATTTTTTAGCCTTTAGCCACATAGGTGTGACTTTATAGATGAATTTACTGAAACCAGAAAAGATCCTCTGATAAAATAATATAAAAAGAACTTTGTAACCAACAGCCTCCAGCCTAAAAATTCAGACCTAGAAATTCAGGACCCCAGCCAATCACCTCCCAAAGCTCTCTACCCTATAATACTATCTCTTTCTTCCTCCCTGATCTTTTCCCGAATACCCTCCATGTCCCATCCTCCTCCAGGGCCAGCTCAACTTCTCTGGCTAAGACTATTTCTACTTCCATGAGAGCCCTCCTCTTACACCAGCCTTATAAGCAAGTAATTGTAAGACAGGAAGTAAGAACTATAAAATTTGCATGCAAACTACTATAGGATCCCATGGAAAGGAGTGATTATTTCTGTTTACAGAGTCAGGAATGCCTCCACAAAAGTGGTCATAGGGATCTGGCCTGATGGGATGAAAGGTTCCTGCTGGCTGCTCAACAGGAAATGTGTGTGTCTACATGCCTGCCTCTCCAAAGGCAGGAATCATGTGCTGATGTGCCCCAGCAATGAGAGACCTGGGGAAGTTGAGAAAGGCTTGGAACTTATCCTGTGGGAACTGGCAGGTCCTTCTGTTCCCACTGCACTACTCACTTGCCTCAAGTCTCTTGCTGCACCTCCTTCTCCAAGCTTTAGCCAGGTTCTGTTACTCCCCATGCAGGCTTCCAACAAGAGCAATACAGTGGGATGCATAGTACACTGGACAGCCAAGCCCTTAACCACCCTGGTCTTCAGCAGCAGCAGGTGCCCTTCCACACACGTTCACAGTCATACCCAGGCTTTCAGTCATCAGCTACCTGCGCAGAGCACAACACCTACCACAGAGCTGGCCAATGTGTTACGTGAATGATTCTCAGGACATTATTTCCAGGCCAGAGACCTAAGCTCACATGTACACCTGCCTACAGACCCCTTCCATTGGGAAGACCCACAAGTACCTCAGACTCAACCCCAGAATTGGACTCACCATCCCCTTGCCCCCACCCTATACAGGACATTCTCACTGTGTCCTCACATAGTCATTCCTCCATGTGCACACACCCCTGGTGTTGCCTAGTGTGTCCTAATCTCCTCTGATTACAAGGATACCAGATTGGATTAGGTCTTATCCTAGTGGCCTCATTTTAACTTAATCACCTCTTTAAAGACATTATTTCCAAATACAGCCACATGCTAACATACTATGGACTAGGACTTTAACATATGAACTTAGAAGGACACAATTCGAGCCCCACTAATATGTGTCTTAGTCCATTTTGTGTTCCTGCAACAAAACGCCTGAGGCTGGGTAACTTATAAATATCAGAGGTTTATGGGCAGGCACAGTGGCTCATGCCTATAATCTCAGCACTTTGGGAGGCCAAGGCAGGCTTATCATCTGAGGCCAGGAGTTCAAGACCAGCCCGGCTAACATGGTGAAACCCTATTTCTAATAAAAATACAAAAATTTAGTCAGGCATGGTGGCATATACCTGTAATCTCACCTACTCAGGAGGCTGAGGCAAGAGAATCACTTGAACCCAGAAAGTGGAGGTTGCAGTAAGCCAAAATAGTGCCATTGCACTCCAGCTTAGATAACAAGAACAAAACTTCATCTCAAATTTATAAAAAAAAAAAAAAAAAAAAAAAAAAAAAAAAAAAAAAAAAAAAAAAAGAGGTTTATTTGGAACCATGATTCTGGTGGCTACAATGTCCATGAGCATAGTGCTGGCATGTGCTCACCCTCTGGTGAGGGCCATGCTGCATCAAGACATGCTGAGAAGTGGAAAGGCAAGCAGGCATGTACAAAGGGACCAAACTCACCCACTTCTGGGAGATGGCATTAATCTACTCATGTGGGATCCACCCTTATGCCTCAAACACCTCCCACAAGACCCCATCTCTCAGTACTGCTGCACTGGCAGTTAAACTTCAACATGAGTTTTGGTGGGGACTATCTACATCCAAACCACAGCAGTACCCAAAAAGTGTTTCGTAGTTTTATGTTTACATATACGTATACTTTTTGTTCATAACTATGTATAAACAGTTTTCTATCACTGCCATAACAAATTATCAAAAATTTAACAGCTTAAAATAACACAAGTTTATTAACTCACACCTAACAGGTGTCTCTGGGTAAAATCAAGGTGTTGGCAGGGCTGTGTTCCTTTCCAGAGGCTCTGAAGAAGAATCCCTTCCAAGCTCATTCTGGTTGTTGGAAGAATTCAGATTCATGTAACTGTAGGACAGAGGTCCCATTTCCCAGTTGGCTTCATTCTGTGCTTCTGGAGGCCATGCCTTGTCTTGTTTTCCCCTTTGTCTCTAAGCCAGTAATGGCAAGTTGAGTCATTCTCATGCTTCCAATATCTCCAACCACTTCTTCTGCCACATGACTCTCTGACTGGCTCTTTTGCACCCTTGTCAACTTTTAAGTGTCCTTGTGGTCACATTAGGCCCACCTGGATAATACAGGACATGCTCATTGCCTTAAGGTCTTTAGCCTAAATTCCATCTGCAAAGCCCTTTGCCACAAACTGTAATGTATTAGGAATTAGGACATGGATATCTTTAGGGCCATTATTCTGCCTACAACAATATACATTTGAAAAAGACTGATAGAAGTACATCAAAATAATAATAACTCTTGTTTGGTAGATGTTTTCCTTGTACATTTGGACTTTTTCCAAATTTTCTGCAATGTATACCTTTAAATTCTCCATAAAAAAGGGGCAATTTTTAAAAAAGGAACATAAGACTTGTAGACAGATTTTGGCTGTGATCCTGGACAAGTTATTGATCATGTGACTCTCAGCTTCTTCACATTTATGAGGTGATAATTTTTCCTTCTTGATAAAATTGTCATATGAATTAAGAGAGAAAAAGAAAAGTCCATGAAGGACCTAACAGAAGGCCTACAAGAAATGTTTGTTCTTATCCCTCCTCTGCTGAAGTTGATCATACCGTAATTTCAGGAGTACTATCCAAACTCCATCTTCTTTAACATATTATAAATACAGCTGCTTGTCACATTTGAAAATTTTCAGAAATAATTTCTCTTCCATTTTCTGAAAATTGTCTTCATCTTAAAGGGCTCAGCTCAATCTAGAAGCAGAAGCTACCATGAAAACTGGCCTCGCTAGAGGTTGAATAAAAACCTGGCTCAGTTATTTCATAAAATGGATGAGAAAACTAGGTGCCCAGATTAGCGAGGCCAGTTTTCATGGCCTCGTACTGTTACATTTTCTGTAAGGACCCTTTCAGATCTGAAGTTCTATCACGCATATTAAGCAAAAGCTAAAATAAATTAATGTATACCATGCACACAGCCCAGCGATGACAAATTGAAGTGTTTGATAAATGTTAGCTTTATCAAGTAGCCAGTTATCCTTGAGTAATTGTGGCTTACTTCTTCTGCTTCCTCCTTTTGGTGCATTTAAAAGTCTTCCCTCAATACAACAATGACAAAAAATCATACACATACAAGGCAAAACTGGGCAAAAGAGTTATTTCTACAAATGGTCAATAAGTACATGAGAAGATGCTTAACATCATTAGTCATTAGGGAAATGTGAATCAAAACCGCAATGAGCTGTGTATTACCCCACACCCAATATGATGTCTATTACCAAAAACAAAAACACAGGAAACAGTAAGTGTTGGTGACAATTTGGAAAAATTGGAACACTTGTGAACTGCTTGTAGAAATGTAAAATTGTGCTGCTGCTGTGGAAAATGGTGTAACAGATCTTCAAAATATTAAACATAGAATTACCAGATGACCTAGCAATTTCACTTCTGAGTATATACCAGAAAGAATTGAAAACAATAATTCAAAGAGATATTTGTACATCAATGTTCACAGAGATCTAATTCACAACAGCCAAAAGTTTCCATCAACAGATGTATGGATAAACAAAATGTAGGCTGGGCATGGTGGCTGACACCTATAATCCCAACACTTTGAGAAGCCGAGGTGGGTGGATCACCTGAGGTCAGGAATTCAAGACCAGCCTAGCCAACATGGCGAAACCTCTTCTGTACTAAAATTACAAAAATTAGCTAGGCATGGTGGCAGGCACCTGTAATCTCAGCCACTTGGAAGGCTGAAGCATGAGAATTGCTTGAACCCTAGAGGCAAAGATTGCAGTGAGTCGAGATCGCGCCACTGCACTCCAGCCTGGGCAACAAAGTGAGACTTTGTCTCAAAAAAAATATATATATATATATGTATATATAATATATATATAAAATACATGTAAAATATATATAATATAAAAATACATATAAAATATATATTATATATAATAAAATAAAATAAAATAAAAATATAATAAATATAATATAAATAAATATAAAATAAATATATAAATGTATATTTATAAATATATAAAATTATATATTTATAAATTATATATTTTTAAATTATAAAAATATAAAATATATAAATATATGTATTTATAAATATATAAATAAATTATATATTTATAAATTATAAAAATAAATATAAATAAATAAAATAAAAATATAATAAAAAATATATAAATATGTATAATATATAAAAATACATATAAAATATATATTATATATAATACATAAGAGATAGAAAGTAAAATGGTGGTTGCCAGGAGCTGAGGAAGCCTCAGGAACTGGAAGTTATTGTTTAACAGATACAGAGTTTCTATCTGGGAAGATGAAAAAATTCTGGAGATGGAGGTTGATAATGGTTGCACAACAATGTGAATATATTTAATGCCTCTGAGCTGTACACCTATAGATGGTTAAAATTATCAGTTTTATGTTATGTGCATTTTACCACAACTTCTTTAAAAATCTCCTCTATTCTTTTCCCATAGGGACCCCCAACCTTGAGACACTATGGCCCTGACCTCAGAATTGGGGAAACAGATAAAACTGAAAGAGGTGGAAGGGACCCTCCTGCAGCTTGCAACTGTGGACAACTGGAGCCAGATCCAGAGCTTCGAGGCCAAACCAGATGATCTCCTCATCTGCACCTACCCTAAAGCAGGTGATTGCAGGGCAAGAGGGACAGCAAAGACATGCTGAGCCTGCATGGGCTGGTCTCTTTTTTTTTTTTTTTTTTTTTTTTTTGAGACGGAGTTTCGCTCTTATTACCCAGGCTGGAGTGCAATGGCGCGATCTCGGCTCACCGCAACCTCCGTCTCCTGGGTTCAGGCAATTCTCCTGCCTCAGCCGCCTGAGTCGCTGGGATTACAGGCACGCGCCACCATGCCCACCTAATTTTTTTCTGTATTTTTAGTAGAGACGGGGTTTCACCATGTTGACCAGGATGGTCTCGATCTCTTGACCTCGTGATCCACCCGCCTCGGCCTCCCAAAGTGCTGGGATTACAGGCTTGAGCCACCGCGCCCGGCCGGGCTGGTCTCTTAAGTTAGAATTCCCCTTGATAGGAAATCTGCTCCTCCTTATTGTTCCACAATGGGGTTCGGGGCTCGGGGCTTAGGCAGGATACCTGATATCCCTGGGTTTTCCAGAGAAGCTGCTGTGCTCTGCCATGCACTGCTCTTGGGTGGGCTGAGCCTTGCCTGTGCTCCTCCACTCCCTGCAGAGATCCAAAGTCCATCCCACATGGACTTCCATCACTCATGGTTAACAGGATACTGACCCGAGGAGAGGTGGATGGAAACACCAAGCTCCACATCCCCTTTGTTTACTCAGGACTCTTCAGGGAAGATTGTCTAGCACGTTTCTGCTTCTCTTCCTTCTTTTCTGAGCCTCAGGGACAACGTGGATTCAGGAAATTGTGGATATGATTGAACACAATGGGGATGTGGAGAAGTGCCAGCGAGCCATCATCCAACAGCGCCATCCTTTCATTGAGTGGGCTCGGCCACCCCAACCTTCTGGTAAGAGCACCTCCCTCTTTCTTTCCTCCTGCTTTCTTTCCCTCTCTTCTGTTTCCCCCTGTCTTTTCTCACTTTCACCTTTTCTCCTCTCTGTCTCTCTCCCTCTCTCCCTCCTCTTCTCTCTTTCTCTTTCTCTCTCATTTTCACTGTCACATGTTTCTTCTTTTTATCTTCCTCTCATCCTCTATCTACATATTATTTAATATTTTTTACCGAAAGTGAATCGCCAAGTGAAAAGGATGTATGCTAGGGTCAGATTCTGCCTTTTCTTCTTAAGCTCTCCCCCAGTCATGTGCAACTGTAGAACATACAGAAGATGTAAAAAAAACTGTAAGCCATTCACTCCTTCTTCTCTCTGTACCCCACCGGGATAAAGCTCAGTGCACCCAGGAGAGTATATAAGAATCGATAATTCACACACACACTACATACACACACACACACACACACACACACACACACACACACACTCCAATGCATTTGAAACCAATTATTTCTGTTCAATAGAGAAGCCATTTTCAGGTAATGCTCACCTTGGAAGTGTTTCTCTTCACATAAAAAAAAAAAAAAAAAAAGAAGGAAGCTAAAAGATATAATCAAAAGGCTATATTTCAGGTAACTGGGAGATGATGGAAGTATTTTGCAAAACAAGGACAGGAGGAAGGCCTACTTCCCTAAGTTGTAGCATTGCAGAGATCCATGTGATAGAAAACTGGGAACACAGGTAGCTGAAGCATGAAAATGTAGTCAATGAAACTAGGATGAAGTCTAGACTTGGAGCAACTGGAGACAGAGGTCTCATAAATTCCTAAAAATGTCTTAGATAGAAAGTCCCTGATCTGATGCATACAAGACATTTGTAACCTGTGCAAGGTGTCTCCAAGTCGGAATAGCCTTAAAGGATTTTGCTTTCCCCTGTGATCCTACCATCCAGCCCCTCTGGCTCTTCTGGCTCTCAAAGAGAAGAGAATTGTCACTAGGTAGGTAACCACTGGCTTTGCAATCCAGTGCCTGTTCCCCGCTGCTCTGAACTACCTGTGGGGCTGGGGCTCTGACCCCATAAACAGGCCAGCCTCTGCCTGCTTAACCGTGATCCCACTCCGTGTGCCATCAGGGGCTGCTGTTTTGTGTGTGTCTGATCTGCTCCTTGAGCAGCAGGATGGTATAACGATTAAGGACTACCAGGGTTTAAATCCCAACTCCATCACTCACCTCATAACGTTTAAATCCTGATTCTGTCACTGACATCACAATGTTTACATAACCTCTCTGTGTTACAGTTTCCTTAGCTGAAAAGAGTGGATAAAATCAAGACCTATCTCAGAGAGTTGTTGTGAAGATTAATGAATTCAATATTTCAATATAGGTAAAAAGCTTGAAGCAGTGCCTGGCACTGCCTATCTACGTGTTAGGTATCTCTTACTAACCACCTCTCCAGGCCCCATGATGTGTTCCCTGATTATCTAAGACCAGCATTTTTGTTTATTTAAAGATGGGGTCCAGCTCTGTCACCCAGGCTAGAGTGCAGTGGTGACATCATAGCTCACTGCAGCCTGGTACTCCTGGGCTTAGGCAATCTTTCCACCTCAGCCTCCTGAGTAGCAGGGACTACAGATGAACGCCACCAGGCCTGGCTAATTTTTTAATTGTTTGTAGAGTTAGGGTTTCACTCTGTTTCCCAGATTGGTCTCAAACACCTGGCTTCAAGCAATCCTCCTGCCTTGGCCTCCTAAGCCACTGGATTCATGGACATAAGCCACCACACCCAGCCCAAGAACAGCTTTTGATCTTTGTTCTACCTCTTGCCCCTGCCCCTGCCAATGTCTTACCTCTGACAATTTGGGAGATTAAAGAAAGAGGAGAGGCCTAAGCAAGATTTCTAATGAAGCACTCTTGGCAGTGGAGAGCAGAGTGTTCAATCATTAAATCTGCATAACCACCAGGATAGAGCTATAGAATCTGCAGAAAGGATAACCAATTGCCCAGTTTCACATGTCAGACAGAGGCACCCTGGCCTCTTTATGAACCAAGGTGACCTGTATCCAGGACTCATAAAGAGTCTCGGCTTTTTGAGAGTAACAAACAATCTCGGGCTTTATGATCTGCCTGGCCACAGACAGCCGAATGCTGGCTGGAGACTTAGCTGTGCAGTGGTTTTCTTTCAGAGTAGATAATCCCTGCCAGCAGAGATGAGGAGCACCCCTGGGAGGAGACGAGTTGCTGACATAGACTCATGGCTGTTGGCCAAAGGTCTCAACCACTCTTGGAGCAGTCTGGAGTGGGCAGACACCACTGGATAATGGACTAGCTTGTGCTCTGCATGGTCAGTCTCCTTTCCAGGCCCCCTTCCACTCTCCGATCCACTCCCAGCCTCAGAACTGTTCTGTGACAAAAGAGATCACATCTGTGACCCACAGAGAATTGATTTGGAAAGACTTTGAAAAGACTTGTGTCCATGTGTGTGTGCATGTGCATGTGCGTACATGCATGCATGTGTACGAACTGTATATAGGTGAAACCTAGAAATGATCCACTCAGTTTCAGCAAACATCTATGCTCAAGGCCTGGTGCCGCCATTAGACTTCACACCTACTTGCCCTCAATAAGTTATTGTCCCATTGAAGAAACCAATGCAGAAGATATAACAACAAGCATGGAGCACTATTGGCAGAGTGAGGGGAATATGGCCAAAGAACAGTTCCTGGAAGTGACACCTAAATGATAAACTGTTGACATTGCTAATTTTCTGCCTCTGTCTCCTGTCAGACTGCAAACCCTTTGATAGCAAGAAACAAGTTCTGTTTAACTTTGTACTCCCATGGGGCTGTTTCTACAGTATTGGCTGGATTGATTTATCCCACGCAGCCATAAGCAATTTGGCTTGTATCCCAAGGCTAGGATCTTAGAGCAGCTTTTGAAGGCCAAAAATAACCCTTTTTGCCCCCTTCTTCCCTACTAGTGTGCTTGGGAATGGGCCCTGCAGCCTGGGCTGTGTCATGCACTCTCTCTACCCTGAGTCTGAGCAACCATCGTGGCGGGTGAGGCAACTCCAAGGGGCTTTTCTGGACCATTGACGAGAGAGAGGTGAGGCGAGAGGGTGGAAGGGTAGAATGTACAATGTACCTATGTTTATAAAAGAAAACACTGGTCAACTTCTTTATTTAAAGCCCCAACTCCACAGCATTTCTCTCTCGTGTAAGGGTTTTTTACAGAAAAGTTTGGAGTTGGAGCTGGGCTGAGCCCACCAAAAGGGCTGGATCAGGAGTCGGTGTGGGCCTTCCTACTAGTCATGGGCAGAAAGGATGACTGTGTGCCATTTGAGGACCTTGATGACTGAGTACAGATTTCCCAATTAGAAGACTAGGTCTCTTTTAGGTACTAAGTGGTTACTGCTCTCAGGGCATTAAATCAGGTGTGATAGGAAAGAGGAGAGTCATGAGCATCAGGAAGGAAATCAACCGGCCTGCAGATCTCACTTTCTGGCAGATTCCCTGAATTTGCTTTCCAGCTTGGGACTGACAGTCCAACTCCACCCATAACTTTCCCTTCTGTCCTCTGTGTCTGCTAAGGTTTATTATCGTTTTCATCTCTGTGTTTCCCTACATTGTGCTTCTTTAGCTCCACTACTGCTTTTCATTTCAGCTACATATGCTCTGCTATTTAACCATATTCATTGCAGGTTTTCATGTCCAGACACTTTATAAATCTTCCTGGTCTTTTTAGTAGTCTCTTGTTTCCTTGCTCATGTTTTCAACTTTCTCTTTTATTTCTTTGCACTTTTTCTGAGATGGGGTCTTACTCTGTCACCTAGGCTAGAGTACAGTAGTGCAATCACAGCTCACTGCAGCCTCAATCTCTCCAGCTGAAGCTATCCTCCCATCTCAGCCTCCCAACTGGACTACAGGTGCATATCGCCACACCCAGATAATTTTGTGTGTGTTTTTTTTTTAGAGACAGGATTTCATCATGTTGCCCAGGCTGGTCTCAAACTCCTAAACTCCAGCAATCCACCTTCCTCAGCCTAGCAAAGTGCCGAGATTACAGATGTGAGCCACTGCGCCTGGTCTTCTTTGCATATTTTAAATATAGTTATTTATATTCCCTATCAAGGCATCCAATAACTGAGGTCACTAGGAGTTTCGTTCTTCCACGTGTTTTTTACTAGCTCTTGTCCATAGAGCTTTTCCTTCATTTGTTTTGTAATTTTGTATAAATAGCTCTTTTCTCCCTGTCTTGATCTCACACCTGCACTGGAACATTTCCAATCTAGAATAGTTTAAGTTAACTTCTGGTCCAAGCAGGTAGTATGATTTCATATCCATGTATGTAGTATGAAAACAGAATTATGATTGTGTGTTCTCAAAAAAGCCTCTTTTTCTGCACCCAGAGTCGAGACAAAGAAATTACCTTACCTCTCTTTGTCAGTAGGTGTTGTTTTTCTCTCTCACCTTTCACTGAAGTGGCAGGCATTTGAGTTTCTCAGGTAAATGCATGGGTCTCTGTTCCTAATCTGTGCCTCACTAAAGCCAAGGCCTACCAGCCTCCTCCCTGAGCAGGGGTCACTGAACTGAGGACTGTGTGTCCCGGGAGGTGAGCCCACTCAGGGAACCTGTCATCAATGCCTTTGCCCACTTCTCCATCTTGTGGCTCCCTCCCTCTTCACTTTGGTACTTTGAGGCTCCCTGTATTTTCTTATGAGCCTGATTATGCATTTAAAGGATGTGTTTGGCGTTTTAATCAGAATCTGCAGGTGTGTGATTAACAGGAGAGATCTTCATAATGTTCAGGCCACCATGCCACCAGCAGTGGAACTACTTGGAGAGACCCTTGAAGACTGAGTGGGACTGACCAGATGCATAGAGATCAAGGCCAGAGAGAGGCACAGGGGCCTGGGGCAGCAGGACCAGGGCACGTGGAAGGACAGAGTATGAGCTGGAGTAGAGGTGGAGCTGAGGAAAGAGACTAGAGGCAGGACAGCTCGGCAGGTTTTCTAAGGAATATGGACTTCTACTCTAGAGTAGAAACTCCTTGGAGAGAAGGTCTGTGTTTTTCTTGCCCTTCTCACCTTTTCCCCTAACCTCAACTTAACACAGTGATTGCACAAAATGCACATTAGGGGTTTTAAATGAGAGAGTAGAAATCATGTCTCACAGGCCAGCAAATTTACATGTTTTTAGGGATGAAACAAGTGACTGCAAACAGGGCAGGTACATGAGAAGCCTGCTGCAGGCACAGAGGGGTCATCTCTGGCTGGCAGGAAGGTGAGGGAGGCCTCTGCCCTCTGGTCCTGGCTGGCTCTGCCTCAGCAAGACATCACTTGCTTCTGTCTCCTCATCCTTAACGTGACAGAGTAAATTAACTGTAAGGCCCCGTCCAGGTCTGAAGCTGTGTAATTCTACAAAAATGAAAATGAAAATGGTACCAATAATCCCATTGTAAAATCCCAAAAGAAAGTCAAGAGACTAGCAGAAAGATAGGTAGGTGATGGGATATACTGGACAGAGCCTGGATCATGAGGTCCCCATGTAATGCTTGTACTACACAGATGTTTCCTCTTGAACTATTTTAAAGGTGTGGAAAAAGCCAAAGCAATGCCCTCTCCACGGATACTAAAGACTCACCTGTCCACTCAGCTGCTGCCACCATCTTTCTGGGAAAGCAACTGCAAGGTAAGACAGCAACAGCTTCCTGTGACAGAAGGGAGAGTAAGCCCACCAGAGCTAGTCCTGCAGACCCCAACGCAGAACATCCATCACCTTTGCCTCTTCACTGTCTCGGATGCTTACCAGCAAAGAGAAAATGTGAAGTTCTACACTTAGCAGGACATGCACCTGAACAGTTTCAAAGAGGATATGAAGGCAGGAGCCAGACTGAATTTTTGGAGGGAACTAAAGACACAGGGAGGTAGTGAGTGCAGGTAGTGTGGCTGTGAAATGAAGCAGGGAAGATGGTGGTCCCAGGCTGTAGGCCATGGGGAGGCCCCTAATAAACCAGGGAGGGAAGAATGAGAGGAAAAGAGCTAAAGATCTCCCCAAAGGGTAAACAGATGAACAGGCAGAGCAATGCTCTTGAGGACACCTGGCCTCAGCCTCTGGTAGACTCTGAGTTCCTTGTTTTATTTATTCTGTGACTGTATTTGTATGCACCCTGGTGCCTAATAAGCTCCTGGCACATAGAGGGCATTAGACACATGCTTGCTGAGTAAACATGGAAGTGGCTGTGAAGCAAGTGGAGTCTAAGGGTACAAACTGAGCTGCCAGCCTTGGTGAGAAAGTAGGGCACTGTTTTCTCAGAGGCAGGAATGAAAGGAGAAGAAGAGCTAAGAAAGATATGTTTTTGGAGGACTAGAGTTAAGTTGGAGGACTCATTAAATGACTTCAGTCCTTTCAGTAATGTTGGATAAGGAGACGAAAAATTCCATGTCCAGGATTATGGCAAACTAGGTATTCTGAATCCCTGGAACCCTTTTGTGTAAACCATCGGAATACTGCATAACAAATCACAAGTTTCCTTTTAAATGCATAACTGAGATCAAAATAAAGTCCCTAAGCTTAAAACCTGCAGAGGAAACTGAAACTCAAGAGAGGAAAATTGAGAGTGGGGCTCTTCTAGGGAAATATGACCTGGATAATCCAGCAACTTGAGTTTTAATGGCTGCACAGGGACAGCATCAAAGCCCAGGACACAAGGAACCAGAAGAATGAGGAGCCAAAGCTGGGACCACTGAAGGGCTCCATCCAGGCAGAGGGAGACCCAAGCGAACTGCTCTGCCTTGACCTAGGCTCTCAGCTCCCTTGAGAATGTATAGCCACAGGTTTCCTGTCCCAGGGTTTCAGATTCAAACTTATACTCCTTACCTTGTCCAAGAAACTACAAGCAGAGAAATTAGCTCAAGGTGGTCCCCACTGCTAGTGTTCCAAGGTCCTCTCTGGAGGGACACAGCTTCAACTCAGGTCCCATAGGATCCCCACTTGAGCTCACCATCCCACATTACAAAATACACAAAAGAACAAGCTGCCATGAAACACAGTCTTCAGAAAGAACCCATGGCAGAGTAAGACCTCAAGAGCTTCAGACAATATAACTATCAGCTCTAGAAATAAAAGAAGGTTCAAGTTGTGTGAATAAATGAAAGAGTGAATCAAAAATAAAGAAAAAAGATACTTTTAGACATAGAATTATTAAGTAAATAAATGGAATTTCTACAACAAAAAATATACAGTCATTGAAATTAAAAACTCAAGAACAGGTAAAGTACAGAATAGCTGCACAGAGAATCAGTGAACTCAGGCAGGAAGGTTTGAGGGTAGAGGTTTGAGGAAAGAGGAGAGACCTGTGGCTGGAGCTAAGAGCTATGAGAGGGAGCATGGGAGAAACTAATAAAGGATTATCAAGCAGCAATGAAGAGGATAAAAAATACAGAAACTCAGGCGGAATATTTTATATCAACATTTTAAAAAATCTTTACTGGTGCTTGCAGCTTGGTAAGTTGGAGAAGAGAAGATGGGCAGTAGGACTTAGTAGATAGTAACAAAGTCAACGCCTTCAGGAGCAGGGTTTCTCAACCTCAGCACTTGTTCTAAAGGGCCTGGGAATTGATTTAATCAGGCATGGCAAGACACGCAGGCATAGTGGTGACTGTCATAAGGAAGACATGTATCCTCACAGATCCCGAGAACAGGAGGCACGGCACATCACACAGGGCCTCACAGGGAAGCATGGGGATAGGCCAGGAGGCAGAGAGATTGAGCGGGAGACATGGGCAAGAGGCTTGATGTGTTTTCATTGGGAAGGAACAGATGAGGCAGGATAAGCAGGCTTGGGATTGGCCAGTATAAACCATTGCAGCAGGCTCTCGGGCACAGGGGCTGGGCCTAGTGGTCTGGTATCTGACACTGGGGTGGTCAGGGCAGGTGAATTGTGACCTAGTATGTAAGAGCCCAACAATGGAGGTATTGGGGGTGTAGGCTCTGGGGTGTTATAAGCAGTTCCTCCAGAGTCAGCAAAGCCCCAAGATATTAAAGCATCAGAATACAGAATATAAAAGATAAAATTAATACAGCACTCCTGACATTTGGAGCAGATTTTTCTTTCTTGTCAGTGGAGCAAGGAGACTCTTCTATGTATTGTAAAATGTTGAACAGCATCCTTGGCCCCTACATAGATGCCAGTAGCACCACCACTCCAAGTTGTAAAACCAAGAATGTCTCCAGACATTGCCAAATGTCCCCTAGCGGACAAAATCATCCCATCATTCCCAGTCGAGAACCACTTAAAAGTGAAACAAAAAAAAGCACAGCATTGAAACAACTGATCATAGATCTGAGATGGGTAATCAAGAGGTCCATTTGGGATTGATGCTGTTAAAAGTTCAAATTTGGTCAAATGAAAAGTTGGGAGGGTGGAGGGATCTGAAGTTGTGGTCCAAGCGGAACCGGAAGGGATGATTGTAGGGGCAGAGCTGAAATACTTAGAGATGGAAATCATTCAAGCTGAGGAGACCAGGAGAAAAATAGGGGCTATTTTCTTGCTCTGTGGCTCATACGCTTTTCTTTTTTTTTTTTTTTTTTTTTTTTTGAGACGGAGTTTCACTCATGTTACCCAGGCTGGAAGGCTGGAGTGCAATGGAGCAATCTCGGCTCATGGCAACCTCCGCCTCCTGGGTTCAGGCAATTCTCCTGTCTCAGCCTCCTGAGTAGCTGGGATTACAGGCACACACCACCATGCCCAGCTAATTTTTTGTATTTTTAGTAGAGACGGGGTTTCACCATGTTGACCAGGATGGTCTCGATCCCTTGACCTTGTGATCCACCCGCCTCGGCCTCCCAAAGTGCTGGGATTACAGACTTGAGCCACTGTGCCCGGCCCAAACTCTTAAACAAGAAGCTTCTGTGCATCTTTGGGAGGGTACTCGAGGGGTCATCAGTTTTGGCTGATACTGTTGGAAGTCTCCTATTCACGTGGCAGGTCATAGTTTATAGAGAAAGATTTTGCTCCTGATACCAAAGGGGAAATCAGGTAATCTAACCACCAATCCCTAATCGATAAGCTAGTTAAAACGACTGAGTTTGTAGTAGAGAGCAGACTTGGCAACAAAGCAGAGACAGGAAGAGGAGAGAGGTCACGAGGCCAAGTTGTAGGGCCAGCACTGCAGACCTGAGCCAGAGTGCACAGCCACCCTCACGACGGCTCCACCTAAGGAAACTCTGTGAAAGTCCACTTTTTATACTACCTTTTACCCACCTCTTTTCTTACCCCAAAGTTCCTTTATGTAGCTCGAAATGCCAAAGACTGTATGGTTTCCTACTACCATTTCCAAAGGATGAACCACAAGCTTCCCGACCCTGGTACCTGGGAAGAGTATTTTGAAACCTTCATCAATGGAAAAGGTACAGAACATCCTTCACACCCTTGCATTCTCACTCCAGCTAGGCTGAGTCTAGGGAACTACAGTTAGCATTTTATCCCTTAGAAAGCCTGTGCCTCGGCAAATGTATCTTACCATAGACTGGGACTGGGCAGAGTCAGCTGGCCACTTTCTGAGTGTAGGCCCACAGCCCTCAGCATTTTCCACCTGATTTAAACCGTTTAAGTAGAGCCACCCTCCTTCCAAAGGGTGTCCTTGTCCCTATGTGATTGCACATAATAGACAGGAAGCCACTTTAGGGAGGATGTTGGAGCAAGTCACCCCAAGGCTGTCCCCATCCACATCATCCTCAAAATCAAACAGATCACAACCCTTAGGATATATCTAACCCAGAATTTGGGTTTCCTCTCTCTAACTCAATCCCTAATACTCAGCAGGTTTTATACTATGCCTATGTAGACCATTCTGTTTCCTGTGTCTGTTTCAGTGGTTTGGGGTTCCTGGTTTGACCATGTGAAAGGATGGTGGGAGATGAAGGACAGATACCAGATTCTCTTCCTCTTCTATGAGGACATAAAGAGGGTGAGTGAAGGCTCTGCAGAAGAACCATTTTAAAGTGGTTCTTCAGGTGCAGAGACATTCAAAGTTGTTTCAAATGACATCCCAGAGAATTGTAGTATTTATTTCTAATACACTCATCCATTCAAGTCCAATGTTACCCTTACCACAGGACCCAAAGCATGAAATTCAGAAGGTGATGAAGTTCATGGGAAAGAACTTGGATGAAACAGTGCTAGATAAAATTGTCCAGGAGACGTCATTTGAGAAAATGAAAGAAAATCCCATGACAAATCGTTCTACAGTTTCCAAATCCATCATGGACCAGTCCATTTCCCCCTTCATGAGGAAAGGTGTGTGGGGCCTCTTTATCAAACACTCAGATTGTCTTGTAACATTGTCTCTGCCTGCCTCTTGGCAGACAATACTGGGTTTTATTAATTCCAAGACAATGCACTTCAACTATTCCTAATATGTGTTTCTAATAAAACCAAGGATTTGATGTTGTAGAAGAGAGCTTTCTAGGGTCTTGCTCCAGTATTTGGTTGCAAGGGACAGAGTCCCTCAAGCTAGCCCCAGTGAAAGGAGCTTACTGTGAGGATTCACACTGGGCAATAAAGGAAATGCAATCACACAGAAAACTAGGAAGAGGAAACACCACTGGTCCAGACCTCCCGAGGGCCCCTGGATCGCAGGGTCCAGGACTCAGCAGCAGGAGGGATGGGTCTTTGCTCCAAGGCTCCACCATTTACAGGACTCGGCTGCTTTTCATATATCTATTAGGCATGGACTCCTCTGCTGACCAGCTTCCCATCTCTCCACCCATTACACTCTTCTCCTAATTTATAACTTCCGATGACTCAGTTTCTGCCCATAACTTGGTCTTGACCTTGGCCGAAACCTGCTCTACTTCATGAGTTTCAGTTACAACTACCGTTGAGAACTGCCTCATCCTCAGTTTTTCTTTGTTCCAATTCCTGAAAGAGAAATTCTAATTGGCCCATCTAATATTTTTTAAGAAATCCTTTATCCCTTTGTAATTTAAAAAGCATAACATGTCATTGTTAAATATTAAACTGGGCCGGGCAGATTGGCTCATGTCCATAATCCCACATCTTGGAAGACTGAGGCATGAGGATTGATTGAGGCTAGAAGTTCAAAGATAGCCTGGGCAAAATAGCAAGACCCTATCTCTACAAAAATATTATTTAGCAGGGTGTGGTGTTGCATGACTGCAGTCCCACCTTCTCAGAAGGCTGAGGCGGGAGTATCACTTGATCCCAGGAGTTTGAGAATGCAGTGAGCTAGGACTTTGCCACTGTACTCCAGCCTGGGTAACAGAACAAGACACTAGCTCTTTTTAAAAAATAAATTCAATTGATATAAAATATATTTTTAAAGGTCTCTCCACCAAAACTCCACCCCTAATAAGTAACTACCAACAGTATGGAAGTCCCTTTCTCTCTCATTTATAACATATACATTTTTATTCACAATAGTGAAATCATGATATACATATTGCTTTGAAATTCTTTTCTTCTTCCTCTTTGATTTTGCATGTGCTTGAATTTATGCTCTTGCATTTTCCAATCTACAACAGTATTCCATACCAATGAAACAAACCAAAAAATTCTACCCCTTTTCTCTTTGGATAATCAGTGGTAATGATTTGTAAAGATGCCCTTCTTCAGGCTCATACATAACCATCTTTCTATACACCCTCCTTCTTCAGATTCATACAGACACAAAGATATGTAACCATAATGAAAGCTTGCTCCCTAAAATGCAGAATGGGGTCATATTTTGTGCCTTTACTTAACAGGATATGAAACACCCCTCCAGGGCAAGGCATATAGACTCATATACCTCACTGATTTTTGTGGTCCCATGTTATACCAAGCTAAAGATACATCGTAACTCATCCAACTATTCCCCTAATGATAGACACTATACTTATTGTTTTCAATGTTTGTTTTTCTGCATAATGTTACAGTAAATACCTTTGTGCATAAATTATTATTTCCTGATGGTTTTACTTCTGTTGCATAATTTTCTGGGAAAGTCATTGGTGGGGAAAAGAGTATTTCCCCTGTTTAAAATTAGTTTAAGTTGTTGCTTGGTGAGAAAATAGTATCTCATTCATATTTTTCCAAAATTGTTTTTTATTGAGATGTAATCAACATACTAAAAATGCACAGAACTTAAGTATGCAGTTCAACCCATTTTGACAAATGTATGTACCCACACTGCCAGCACCCCAATCAAGATATGAAACATTTTCATCACCCCAGAAAGTTCCCTCTGATGCCCCTTTTCAGTCAATGAGGCACGAGAGGGAACTTTCTGGGGTGGGAAAGTTCTGAGGGAACTTTCCAGGGACAACCATTTTTTCCAATTTCTATTACTCTAGATTGATTTTACCTGTTGCCGGACTTCACATAAATGTAATCTCACAGTATTTACTTTCTTGTGTCTGGTGTATTGTGCTGAACATAAGGTTTTGGGATTCCTCCATGTTGTTGTGTGTCTGTAGTTTATTCTTCTTTTATGTCTATGTAGTAATCCATCATGTAAATATGCTACAGGTGGGGCCAGGTCATGCAGGCCACTAGCTGCCTTGGGTCAGTTGTCCAGCTGACTTAGAAGTCCATCCTCCTGCACAGAACCCCCTAGGACTGCTTTTTAGACCAGAGCTGCTCATGGACAGGTGTCCACTGAAGGAGGAGTTGGATGAGTCAGGCATATGGACAGGCCAGATTCAGTATGGGCACTACACCACTTTACTCAGGGACACTATATCTTTCAATCATAAAGTTACACTCCTGTCTGGCCTTCCTTTTTCTAGGAACTGTGGGGGATTGGAAAAACCACTTCACTGTTGCCCAGAATGAGAGGTTTGATGAAATCTATAGAAAAAAGATGGAAGGAACCTCCATAAACTTCTGCATGGAACTCTGAGCAAGATATAAATAAAATTAAAAGGTGGATGGCAAGAGTGCAAATACTATCTTCGATACTTCAGTCCCAGCCAGAAGAATCTCTGAAAGCCTACTGTGAATGTATATGATGTGGTACAAACTATGTCTATGATGATTAACACTATGTCACCACTTCACTTTTAAAAAAGGATCACGTCTAATGTCCATTTTCTCAACTATTCTTTCCAAAGTAAGAAATAAGATAGCTTAATAAACTAAGTAAAACATATGACTTGAATATTAAAAAGTTCGTTTTAATCCCCATTATTCTAGAAAATGTGTCCTAGTCCAAATATTAGGTTATGTCTATATTAATAACAAAATTTCTGGCATCTGTCCTGGCCATTCAAGGAAATCCAGCCTGGGCTGAGTCCTGGAGTTCTGCCAGGTCTCAGGAACACTTTGAGGGCAACTGTGGTGCAGCCAGCCCTGAGGAAACATGGCCTGAGTGCTCTCACTGGCAAATGGGAATAAATGGAAGTGCACAGAAGAGATGTCAGAAAACCAAAACCTGGTTAATCGTCCTAGTGCTAGGTCATGTAGAAAACAGAAAGCATGATGGTGGCCTTTTAGGAACCCAAGTTATATCCTGGTGAAAGCAGAAAGGAGAAGACAGGATGGCTGGCAACAGTGTCATCATGGGCATGGCTCTCAGGCGTGGAGGTAATTGGGTCTTGGCTTCAATGCTACCCGTTTGGGAAGCCCTAAACCAAGTGAGGTGTTCTTTTCCCCCACTTCCCATGTTTGTCCCAGTTGCAGGCCTGTTGTTGTGCATTTACTTATCAATTTCTTATCTGTTCCTCTCACTCAATTGTTAATTCTTTGGGGTTCAGTCTCATGCAGTATTTACTCCTAGTACCTAATGCAGTGCCTGGCACACAATAAGTGCCCTTGAGAACTTGTTGAGGGAGTAAAAAAATGCATGGATAAATGACTACAGCAAATGACAAATTCTCAACTTTGACACTTTTTTTTTAGTCCCAAACAGTGGCATTCTACAGCTTTGGGTAGTAAGAGCACTTCACCCTGGGAGCAGGCAATCAGAGGAAGCATAAAACCAACTAAAATTCTGACTGTTTTTTGTTGGATTTTGGAAAGTATTCTTTTTTTTTAACAGGGCCCCACTATGTTGCCCAGGCTAGTCTCAACTGACTGCTTTTTATTATCACCATACACTGGCAATTCCAAACAATGTCGATGTTAAAATACTTCTCCCTGAAAAAAAGAAAAAAACTCCTCTTGTCCTAAGTTCTAAATAATAGCTAGGTTACTACTGAGTTTTAACTATATGCATGTGAGCTTCAAATAAGCATCTTTTTATTATGTAAATAAATAAAAGTGATCTGCATCCCCACGATATTGTAAATTTTTGTTGTTTGGTTTCATGTCTTATTCACCTTTGTACGGAAATTAATTCAGAAACCCCAGGCATAGAACCTACCTTTATAATTGCAACAGGTAGATGTAGCTCTGCCTGCTTCCTTCCAAGGTTAAGTTCATAACAGTTCAGAATCCTTCAAGCTCACTTCAGGTATAACCTGTGTCTCCAACCCTGCAGTATTTGGATATTGCTGTTTAAACAGTAGATTTGCCATAGGTGATGATGGCACAATGATTGTAAAGGAAAAGAAGCAGAACATCTGAGTTTGTGCAATACTCTTATTCTCTGAAATGACTTGGGGTTTTCAGTTGTATCCAAAATATAAAACAGTAAAATTTCAGAGTGTGAACAGCAACATTTACATCCTTGTTTAGTAAGTACAAAGTTGTGTTCATACAGGAAGTTCACAGACTTTGAATAACTTTAAAAATGAAATTTACTCTTTTCTAAGTGTTAATTATTTGTTTTAAAATATAAGAATGAATCAAGAAAATAAGACATTACACCAGTGGTATAATTTAGTAATTATCTGACTTGTACTTTTTGTAGACATTTTAATTTTATTAAATTGGCATTCTGATTTTTTTACTGGCATGAGTTTATACACAAGGTTGAACAAAAGAAAAGTTTCACTGACTACATTTCTTTACTATATTATTATTTGTCTCTATGCATGACTAACACTGAAAATAATTTTGCTGTTTAAGGAAGTAATGGTTTGGCTGTGTCCCCACCCAAATTTTATCTTGAATCGTAGCTCCTATATTTCCCACATATTATGGGACGGACCCCATGAGAGATAATTGAATCATTGAGGTGGTTTTCCCCATACTGTTCTCATGGTAGTGAATAAGATCTAATGATTTTACAAGGATTTTCCTTTTTCCCTTGACTTTCATTCTCTTTTGTCTGCCACCATGTAAGATGTGCCTTTTCACTTTCTGCCATGATTGTGAGGCCTCCCCAGCCTTGTGAAACTGTGAGTCTACTAAACCTCTTTTTCTTTATAATTTACTCAGTCTTGGGTATATCTTCATCAGCACTGTGAAAATAGACTAATACGGTAAATTGGTACCGGTGGAGTGGGGCACTGCCATAAAGATACCCAAAAATGTGGAAGTGACTTTGGAACTGGGTAACATGCAGAGGTTGGAACAGTTTGGAGGGCTCAGAGGAAGACAGGAAAATGTGGGAAAGTTTGGAACTTCCTAGAGACTTGTTGAATGGCTTTGACCAAAGTGCAGTGTTTTGGGGGTAAGTGGTGGGAGATAACTGAATCATGGGGGCAGTTTCCCCTGTATTATTCTCATGGTAGTGAATAAGTCTCACAAGATCTGATGAGTATGTGAAGGGTTTCCTTTTTCACTTGGCTCTCATTTTCTGCTTCCATGTAAGACATGCCTTCCACCTTCCACCATGCTTGTGAGGCCTCCCCAGCCATGTGGAAATGTAAGTCCATTAAACCTCTTTTCTTTATAATTTACCCAGTCTTGGGTATGTCTTTATCAGCAGCATGAAAACTGACTAATACAAAGATAGTAAAAATAATAATAATAATAATTCACCCCACGGTTAGCAATGATCCCAAATACTAAACTGCATTCTGATTTTTAATTGGTTGGTTGGTGGTTGGTTGATTGATTGGTCTGTTCATGGAAAAAATATTCAATGACACTTATTAAAGCACAGTAGGGCAGATTTTAGTCAGGACCATCTTCACACGTGTAGGGACCATGGCAATGGGGTCTTGCAGTAGAAGAGATTGTGTTCAACTCTTAATACAATATGGGCAAGTGGGAATTTATAGCCATGTAGTAGAGTGAAGAAGGAGGGATAGAAAATTACTAAGAGGAAACATCATGGGTAAGGGAAGGGATGGATTCTAGCTACAGTGATCCAACAGGATTGTTGCTAAAGATAGGCCAGGGTGATTAGATATTACCTGGGCGATGGGGGAGGATGAAGAACCTGATCCGATTTTGAGGTTAGCGAGTTCCTACTAAATTGACTTAATAGCTTTCTTGCAAAAACTGGATTTTTTTCAAGAAGGTACACAGAGGGGTATAGGAGATATATTAGGAGACTGACTAAAGTTTGGTCAAGCAAATAGTCTCTCATTTGGTTTAAATTCTTTCTGCTTCCTTTTCCTTCACTAGCTAGGACCTCAACCTGCCTACTTTGAAGTTTAGTATTTCAAAGAGCTTTGAAGTTTAATGCTGTGAGATTACATGGGACTATGAGTTTTTTTAAACATCAACAAATCACATTTAAATTCAGCTTCCAACGACCAGTGGAAACTATATGGCAACGGGAACATGTAGAATCAAGGTCAAGAATGAAAAGCCACCAGTAAAGCACAGTGTTTTGCAACTCAACCAGTTGCCCACAATTTAAGCAAGAAGGGATCAATCAAACAAGAACAGAGATGCAAGAAATAGAACCAGTTCCAGGAAATTCAGTATTTAAGCTAAGATGCATAGGGCCCTAGCACACCCTGTCCCCCTATATGCGTGCACCATATGTATGCACCAGCAGCTCAAAAGAAATAATTTTGTTTCTTTCCTCCTAAAGTTACAGCCATCCTTCATTTACTCATTTATTCATTCATTCATTCTCAATTGTACGCGTACTATGTGCCAGGTACTGTGTGAATGATGGGAATGCTCACAGTGGTGAGCAAAGTTCTTTCCCCTGTGGATTTTATGGTCTAGCATGTGAAGCAAAAGTCCAATAAGTCATGACACATGTCACCAATTGAGGAGAATGCCATGCGAGATGGTTTCAGGCTTTGAGAGGCCACAGCAGATCAGCTGGGACTGGGGACTGAGGCACAGCTTTCCTGACAGGACACGGTTCTTCCCAGATGTAAAGCATGTGCTGGCTTTATCTAGGCAAGAGACAGAGACTGGGCAGAGAGAAGGAGACCCAGGAGCAGGCTTGGTGAGGGGGGCCTGTTTGAGGGCCAGGAGAAAGGGCTGTGAGGAGAAGAGCAGTAAGCTCAGGGAGAACCGGCAAAATAAAGCCCCAAAGAAAGGTGGGCATGTCACATGGAGCCTTAATGGTGATAGCAGAATGTTAGACTTTATCCTAGGAGCATCAGGAAGCCCCTGCAGGCTCCAAGAAAGATGGTGAAACATTGAGATTAGCATGTCAATATATCCATTGTGGCTGTGCCGTACACACAGTACGAGGGTGGGAGCCACACTGGTGCAGTTAAGAGGGCTGGGAAGTGTTCACGGGTGTGGAGACTTTCAGGATTAAGGTAAGAGGTAGGAAGCTGGCCTCCCTCAGCCTCTCACACCTGGTTACAAAAGCAGGACATAGAATTTCAGGTTGACCAGAAGGTTACTCGTTCCTTATAAAAAAAAAAAAATTAAGACAGGGTCTCACTCTGTTGCCCAGGCTGGAGTGTAGTGTCACAATTGTGGCTAACTGCAGCCTCAACATCCTGGGCTCAAGCAATCCGCCTACTTCAGTATCCTGAGGAGCTAGGACCACAGATGTGCACCATCACACTTGGCTAATTTTTATTTTTTACTTTTTGTAGAGACAGGATCTCACTATGTTGCCCCGGCTGGTCTATAACTCCTGGCATCAAACAATCCCCCCACCTTGGTTTCCCAAAGCACTGGGATTACAGGCATGAGCCACTGTGCCTGGTCTTTTTCATTTTAACTGCAGACACAGTTCTTTAGTACATAGTATGCTAAATACAACTGGAGATTCATGAGAAGAGAAAGAGCAATAGGAAAAGATTAGGGTAACCGAGCCTCAGATCAGCAGGCAAACTAGGAGAGGTTGAGACATCCCTCTAAAAAGAAAAATGTGGTCTGAGATATTTAACAGATTCTCTATCAGGACTGTTTCTCATATGCAGCAATATATCTGACCCAAATGGCACAATTTACTTAACGTCTTAATAATACAAAACTAGACTCGCCCAAACAGGTTACTGCAAGTCAGAGACCTCAGAGTTTAGGCCAATGCTGGTCAGGTTGTCAAGTGTTTGTGGTGAGTGACTCGTGTGGTATTCTCTGCTCTGTCTGTGGCAGGCCAGGTCTCATAAACAGCTGAACAGGCAGGCCTCCATAACAACTGTTTCAGCACTTAGTGGTTAAATATTAAAAGCTGAAAGAACCAGTGCCCTTATACAAAGGCTGGAATGTAACAAAAGCCCACAAAGAGTTTTGCATGAGCCTTTCCTGGGCCTTGAAGCATGAAAAACAATGAAGGAATCTTTAACAGGACCCAGACCTCCACAAAAAAGTTTTACTGGCGGTCTAAAGGAACTCCACAAACCTCCATGATTTAGCAGGAGACAAGATAATAGTAATCACCCTGGCACCTGGACCCATCCAGATTAAGTAAATTTACTGAGACTCCAGAGGAAGGCCTTCAAAACTCAGTCCTTAATTATAGATTAGAAGATGTTAATCATTTATGTCTTTAGATGAATGCACACTTACATGTAGACATATAGCTTAGAAGGTATATAAGCTCTGGAAAACTTTGTAATTTTGAGTTGGTCTGGCAATATTTTCCAGGCCTTCCCCTGGTACCCAGTTACAGAATTAAACTCTCTTCTTCCCTAGTTCATCTGCATCTCATTATTGGGCCGTGAGAATAAGCAGCCTGATCCTCGGTTTGGTCTAGGAACATGCCTAGTCAAGGGCTTAACTATGGGTCAGAATAGAGGTTGGTCCATGGCCATTCAGCCCTGCCCTCTCCTGCATCTCTTCACCCAGCCACACCTTTCCCACTCCTTCTTCTCCCCCTCCCACTCAACAAAGGATGAGCTGGCCAATCATTTTGAAATGGAGAATACTAAAACCACAGGGGAAATGCAGATAACTTCTAGCATTTCCTGTCCCCTCAAGAGAATACTTACATAGATTTTTCAACAAGAGAATACCATGGTCTAACTGTGTGAGGTATTAATGGAGGTTAATTTATAAAAAAGAAGGAGGAAAGCT